CATCTTCTGAGGTGCGACATATCGGTGTAACGTTTGACTCCACACTATCCATGATTAGACATATATTACAAACACATGCAGAGTAGTATCCTTCCATCTCCGCAACATCAAGGCAGTTAGGCGTTTTTTAAATGAAGATGCTACATCAAAACTTGTACATGCATTGGTTACATCAAGATTGGATTATTGTAATGGAGTCCTTTACGGAATACCATTAACATCAATTAGAAATCTGCAGCTATTGATGAACATCGCTGCTCGTCTTGTCACTGGGACACCTAAATTCGATCACATCACCCCTACTCTTCGTCGACTTCATTGGTTGCCAGTGAAACAGCGTATTGAATTCAAAGTACTTTTATATGTTTACAAATCAATTCACAAGTTATCACCACAATAAATTTCCGAATTAATTAAGGTTCGTTCTGCAACTTCTGCACTCGTTCCCTCCGGTCAACAACTGACTCAACCAATCTTTATTGTCCATCCTTTCGGTTAAAGTCTTGTGGGGAGCGATCGTTTATGGTTGCTGGGCCCAAGTTGTGGAACTTGTTACCTTTATTTATTCGTGAGTCATCTTCTGTCACCATTTTCAAAGAACGACTTAAGACCCACTTATTCTCGTCCCTTTAATTTTTTTTTCTATTTCCATGCCAGCTAGCTTTTTTATAGCTTTAACTAGGATAGGAGGCGCCCGAATCCGAGATGGCCGAGACTCAACAGGTGCTGACTGTAGTTCAATTAGATTGAACCCTAGCCAGCGATGAGGGCGTATGGTATTCAAATTTCACTTCTTTTTTATTTTGTGGTTTTGGTTTCCGTTCCATCTTTACACTTGCCTGATAGCGCTTAGAGACTTTTTGTATTTTGCGCTCTATAAGTTAATAACCATTAACCAATAACCATTAACACTGAGCAAGCATTCCCCTATACTCCAACTGGAAGCAGGGGGAAAATAATGCTTGCCAAAACTAACACAATCGGATTTGGTTGGATTAAATCCCAGGTCATTCTTGGTGATGTACTCCTTGGCAAATTCGATTGACTTCTGTAGCACTGTAATAGTATTTCTTATTATTAGACCATCATCAGCATAGCAAAAGACAGTCAAATATGTTTTACCAACTTTTATACCACATTCAAGATTATTTAAACCATTGATAATATCTTTGTAAAACAGATTAAAAATCAATGGAAAAGATAATCGTGTACCACCTCAAATAACTTAAAGAGTTATTTCACTTAATACGAACCAATCATCTGACACGTAGTTTGCAAGTTTAGAAATAGGATACCGTGGGGAATAGCACCAAAAGCACCCTAGTTATGATTACAGTAAATTTATTACATCATTAACCGTAACAATGGATAGCAGTCCCACGCCCAGTCACAAAACCGTACTGCGCTGGATCGAGCTCAACATTGTAGCATAATTCAATTAAGCAAAGTTCCTTAATTTTTGAAATTGTATTAGAAATCAAGGGCGGATCTAGGATTTGAAAGAGGGGAGTTTAAAATGTTTAAAAAAAAAAAAATTAAAGGGGTCCGGGGTCCTCCCCCGGGAAAATTTGGATTCCTAGATGGCCGGAAATGAGCTTTCCCGACTTCTGAGGAGTTTTTTAATGACCTTTAAGTTCTTCAAAATTCAAGGTTTCCCCCTCTTGAAAAAGGTCAGGTAATTTTATCTTATTCTTTAGGCCTATACATAGAGGGGAAAAAATCAAAGACATAGGCCTAGGCAATATATTATTATATTTCAACAATATTGAGTAGTTAGGTATGTAGTCTTTCTTCTATGGATCGATGAACCGATAGGCCTGAAGAACGCACTTCCGTACATAAATTATTACGACGTCGAACCAAATACAGTGTGTATAATCTATTTAATTGAAGACTAGTTTGGCTAAGCCTAGTTTGTCTGATCTCTCAACCTATGCCTGTAGGTTAGCATGCCTTTTGTAAGCCAGGACCCAGTAGTATTTTGTTACGTTTCTTCACAGAGGGGGGTTCGTCCGAACTACCTGAACACCCCCCGACCCTTTCCATGGATCCGCCACTGGAAATAGTAAGAGGCCTATAATTTTTTGGTTGAGATGGATAGGAATTAAGCTTTTTAAGAATTCCATAATTTCGGAGCGGCAAAAGAAAATGAACGTTCGCCAGTACGGACATACAACATTGCAAGAACAGTTAACTTTGCCGCTACACTTATTTTGCATCTCAAATGAAATTATATTCCCCAGATCTGTGATATGTACAAATAAAAATAGACCACACTTTAGTGTCATATTTTTCTTTGTAATGTTCTTATAACTTCGAGTTTCTATTCTATTCGTTGTCAGTTCCCATTCAATTTGTAACAAAATACGTCGATATAACACCTTTTTAAATGGAGCATTATTATTATGTTCAAGAATGTACAAGCATGACCATATTGTTACCAGTTATTGTGTCTACTATAAAAAGAAGAGAAGAATTTTTTAAAAGTTGTATGAATGACAAAATACCCATATAAAGCTATATAGTTCCAATTGTTAACGCAGAAAGGTTTGTTGGCAAAATGCGTTATACAAAAACTGACATACGAGAGAAGCTGGTACCGGTTTACCGGGTAGCTCAGACACGAAGAGTCCCTTAAGAGAGAATGTACGAGTTAGTCCACACCTCAAACGCCTTGAGACTTCGGTATAAAGCGCTATATAAAATGTAACTACATTGCCTAATATTAGCGTTTGCGTCACAGTGATTTCATTGATACAGAGAGTGTAGTCATCGAAAAACTTCATTAGGTTGAGTAAAGTTGCGTAGTCTGCTGTTGCTGAGGAACAGGAACGTCTTCAACAGATTCTAAGTGGCCAATGACGTTTACTATTTTAAAAAGCAATTGTGAAAGATATGAAGAAGTGAGACCATCGACAGTCCTTTATTAAAAACTTTAAAGATAATGTGTTGCTGAATCGGAAAACAAGATGTTTAATAGTCGGTGTAACACTCCGATTTGGAGTAGAAATAAATAACTTAATGGTTAAGGTGCTTGCATTCTAATCCCAGGTTCCTGGGTAAAATTCTTGTGATAATTGGAATTTTTCTAACTAAAAAAATCTCTACTTCCTAAGCCTCATAAAAAGACTTCGCTAATATTGAGCATCGTGTTATTTCTTTTATTTAAGAGATCCCCTTAATATCAACCGACCTTCTAGGATACGCTGGAAGGGTCACCCTCTATAAATATGGTTTTAAAAAATGATAAAGATCCTCGAATACCAACTAAAAATTAGAAATTGAAGTGAGAAACCGTATATTAGGCTTACACGGTTGCGGCTTCCAGCATTTTAACCATGAGAGCATAGATTAAGATTATTTGCTCGTAGTTGAAGCCTCACTACTACTACTGGTCTACTGGTTAAAACTATATTCGTGTAGTATCAAAAATATTTATTTTATTCGCATATAAATTATTGGTTTTTATTTCAGATATTTTTGTGTTGGTAATGGCGCACTGTCTCCAGCGACTAGTTTTGGTCAGCGTGTATGTATTATTGCATTCAAATTCAAGTTATGGTAAACTTTTCTAATTTATATTCTTTAATAAACATGTAGATTAAATTTAATGTCATACCCCAAGTTTCCCATCTTATTAGGTGCTTGCCTAGTTATCAACGCCAGCAACAAATGACAATATAGTTTTGGCGCTCGACACTGACTGTGTTAGAATTTTTAATCAAGTCTTAAAAAGTTTGTTTTTTATTTTCGTTACTTCCATAAGTTAGGTTTCTAATTTCAGGTTTTGTTTTCTTTATTTTTCTGACTATTTTTCCTTGTAAATTTTTAATTCTTGTTAGGGCTATACCTTTCTTCTTTTTAGCATCAAATAATTCAATTCTTTAATTCAATTTGTTAAATTTCCAAAAGCTAACAAGGGCTATTACCTGCATAAAATATACAATAGAAGTACGTACATCAAACGGATTAAATACTTAAGCATATGTGAGCTCCTCTCTCTCCCCTCTCTCTCTCTTTCTCCCTATCTCTCTCTCTCTCTCTCTCTCTCAAAAATGTAAAATAAATATGTTTTAAGTGTAAACAAGACGGTTAATGGACTTTAGGAAGAAAGAGTCATTGGGATTTTTTAAATTATGCCAATTGTATGGCTACGGTATGAGTAATAAGCGCAGTAAATCCTCAGGGAGTACGACAGACTAAAACGTCGACCCTAGAAAGGTAGAGTTGACCTACGAAAACGTCTCAGGGACAGAGGGAGGTTACGGAGATGGGGAAAACAATAACAATTATGAGGTGATTGGACGATTTTACATGAGTAAAAACGAAGAACGTCTGAAAACAAAGCAGAGTTGTTTAAAAGGAAGAACTGTCATCTCTGTGTACTATTTTTGTAGAGTCAGGTTCACTGTTTGAGTAATTTATCTAAGAAGGTAGCTCTCATTAGTAATCACTATTTCTTTATCTATACTGAAAAGTATATTTGTTAATTGTTGTTATTTTCAACATTGTCGTTTACGCCTTTTGCTTTGATTAGATTCCAATCTTTTACACTGATTGGTATATACAGAATATAAATGATGCAATAGGCTATCGTTAAATATATATTTCCATCAATTAGAAATATGATTGTAATAGATGAAACGCTATTCATATTTTAAATAGAGCAAGGTTCGTGGTGTTACTATTATTGTGTCGGGTACTACGGATATTGCATTCCTGAATCTTGGCTTTGTGATGGAGAAAATGATTGTTACGATAATTCTGATGAGGCTGATAACCTATGTTGTAAGTCACAACTTTGCGTATTTGTCTTAATTTTTTTTTTTTTTTTTTTTTTGTATTGAAAACTGTTTTAATTCAAATTACAGTTCTTTTAAAGGGAAAACTGTCTGCCAAAGAAAAAAAAATCGAAAACACCTCCAAAATCTAAATTTAAATGTTTGCATTACTACATATGTATGCCTCACAATCTGGGGCGGTTATTGCTCCACCACAGACTGCAGGCCCTGCTGCTATGGATATATGGTTCATACTAGCCTATTTCAAACAGACAGCACGATAGTACTGTAGTGTCAACTGCCAAGGAGGAACGCATTCTTTAAACATTTGTTGTTTACGCACAGAAACTTCTGAAAATGGCGTTTCACGCTTCATATAAATTCAACTTTTTGTTGAATCCCTTTCATTCGTATTATCAACTATTTTTTATGTTTTAAACAATTGAAATCCAAAATACAATCTAAAGAACCTGTCAGTAATTGTATACAAAATCAATCGCCGGTACAATTAATGTTGTTAAAAGAACTTTTTATTTATATCTCCAGTGTGGAGACTGGTCGGTGGTGCCGTAGAGAGGGAAGGAAGGGTCGAACTACATGGATCTATAGTTGGGACTGTATGTTCTATTGGATGGACTGAACAAGATGCCGATCTACTTTGTAAAAGTCTGGGTTACGAAGGCGTCAAAGAACATTTAGTGTACACATTTGGAGAAGGAACAGGAGACATTTGGTCAAATTTTAGCGGGTGCATCGAAGATTTTTCTAGCCCTAGTTGCAATCCTGTCAACACAACAAACGACTCAATGTGTACTCACTCTGAAGATGTTGGCATCGTATGTTCACCAAGTAAGTCAATACATGTCTATTAAAAATTTAATGTAAGGTAAAATTTTGAAATATCAGTAATAATCTTCTTATATTATAAATTATTGTTTGTAGTGTCAATTCGATTAGTGGGCAAAGAGTCACACGAAGGTCGGGTAGAGATTTTCTATTTTGATCAGTGGTCTACAGTACACGGCTTGAGTCTCCATGAAGCTCACTTAATCTGCCATCAGCTAGGATATCCAGCGGCCGAGCTCTCTGACTGTTGCGGAATTTTTGGAACCTCATTTGAAATGCCTTCGTACGAAATAAATTGTATTAGCGATGAACAAGAAATCGCTGAATGCAGCATTATTAGGACATATTCAGAGGAAAAGCAATCTGGAGTCACGTGTGCAAGAGGTATAGCACAAACTAAATAATATTTTATATAATCTTATATATATTATAATTTTCTAGTATCTGTCTCTTATACACATCTAGATGTGTATAAGAGACAGGAGTAAGACTAATTAATGGAGAATTTGATTCAGAAGGACTTCTTGAAATATACACAGAATCTGAATGGCACAAAGTGTGTACACCGGATATCAACATCGATGCCGCCAGGGTTATTTGCAAGCAACTCAATTTCCATGACGTTTTTAATATTAGGGACGTCTCTAGCAGAAACAGCAATTCGTCAACTATCATCAATATTATTTGTTCTGGATCGGAAAGCAAATTTGAAGAGTGCGCATTTGAAATCATGCCAAATAAAATGTGCAAAAACAATGTCTATCTATTATGCGAAACAAGTACGCTGTCTTTTCTAATTAATATATATATATATATATATATATATTAATTTATTCATTTTAGATCTATATATTCCATATACGTTAAACATAGGCATATTTATCGAATATTCCCTAATTACTAATTTTTGTGTTTCTCTTAAATATTTTTAATACCAGTAGGTTTTTAACAATATTTTCAACTGTGATTACAAATTTATAACAGCCTAGTACTGTTTGTTGTGTTCATAAATTAGTTTGTATTTTCCTTTCTTGATTGCAGGTGGGTCGAGGTTTGTTGATGGATATTCAAGAATTTCTGGTTTTGCTCAAACATATTTTAACAACACATGGACGTACATATGCGACACTACAGAAGATGTACTTCAGTCTGTCTGCTTGGAACAGCAATCAACTGGAATTAGGTTAATCCGATTAACGCTCCTAGATGATAAAGTACATGAGTGTATTAACTGCAATATACACAATGGTTTGCTTCAGTGTCACTACATTGACCTACCCTATTATTATAATTACACTGAATGTTCAACAGGTAAGGAGAACATGCTTTTTGATTTACTTCAGGTTCATGTTTATGTTTGTTTTACGAGTCACATGAATTCCCATTCCGGAGTTTAATCATTTAATGGTGTAGGTTAATCTTATTCCAAAGTTGTTTGATATTGTGTGATAACAACTAAAAACTGTTAATATTTCCAAAGAAATGTGTCTGTGTGTAGTTATGCTTGTTGAAATGATGATATACCAAGATATCAGTATTTTGGTCAATGTACCCTTAACAGACATTTTTTTTTTCAATAAATTGTCCATTACCAATAATTCGTAGATACCCTAAGGATTCGTGAAGGAAGTCACCAGGGATTGGTTGAAATCTTCAAAAACGATAGCTGGATTTCTGTTTGTCAGGATCATTGGAACTTGCAAGCCGCTGAAATTGCTTGTAGAGAACTACATTTTCTTGGCGTTAGTGAAAGTCCGACGCAGCCTGACCCTTATGCTACCTGGACTCCTGATGCCGCTGTGGTTCAATGTAGTGGAAGCGAAACCAGTCTGTCACACTGCCAATTTGACCACAGTGTACAGTGTAGCACCCATGCTGTTCAACTTACATGTTTGGATGGTAAGAACCGAAAGGTCTACTGATTAATCTCAGATAAGAAAGTATAGTACATATGGTACCCAAGTATTGAAATGCACGCCATCATGACGTGTTGGGATTCAATATTTCAACATTAATTATGGCATCATCAGAAATGATGATGACATAGTTAATGTCGAAATGATGACATAATTAATATCGAAATATTAAATCCCAACACAATGGCGTGCATTTCAATACTTGGAGTATGTATTATACCTTTTTAGATGGTAAGAGTCGTTATAATATAAGTAACGGCAGCTTCATCTTTAGTACTGTACATGGCCCAGCAATGTGCCAGATATGAGGGTGAACTGTGCCCCTAGTGTTTTTTCAGAGTTGCTTTTTCCCCTTTTATACAAAAATGTATCTTATGTTTAAGATTTAAGAATTGTAGAAAGGGATTTAATTCATTTTATGAAATGCGCATCAAAGCTTCGGCATTTTGCGCTATGTGGACTGTTATTTGCATCAAGTAATCTCATGTAATTATGAATGATGCCTTGTTGGGTTCCAATGAGTGTGGGATTCCGGTCTGGAAGTATGTTGACGACCTCACTATGGCTGAAAAGAACAATCCCTCTGATAATAGTACAATCCAAGAGTTTATCAACCATCTCTCTTATTGGACTTTTGAAACGGAACCTCGCTAAATTTCAAATATATATACTTTGGCCGTGGAATACTTCCAGACAGGCATCTCGTAATTGATGGTAACCAACTTCCTTTTGTTTATAGGGTCAAACTCTTTGGGATTGTTTTTGATAACGATCTTATATGGGAGGGCAACATTTGTGCAATAAATGCTATTTTTTCTTAGGCTACTTACAAGCTGGTTTCGATAAAGACGACCTTACCATGGCTTTCAAAATTTAAAAAGACCCATCCTAGTATATATGCAGCTCACCCAAGCCCAATTTAATAGGATTGGAAAAATACAAAAATGGCGTGCAAATGCATTCTTGGCTTTGATGGATTCAATTCTTATGATGCCGCCATGGCTGAGCTTGGAATGGAGGCTATGTCAGCCAGCGGATACCTGCCATGCATTAAATTCTCTTACAAATGTTCACCTAACGACAAATTCAAGAGCTGGTTCCCAAATAGTGAAAACTGGCACAGTATGATTAACGTAAAACACCTACGTTTAAAGAATACAGGTGTAAAACTTTAAAACAGTTTTATAATTCCTCTCTACCATCAATGATAAGATTACTTAACAAGCAAATCTAATCCACTTAGCAGGAGCCTGTGGGCTGACGGTACCCCATAATTTATCCTTGCTCAGCCTGGAATCCGTTTATGCAATATTTAACTCTGATTAATTAATTACTCAACATTCAATTCAGTTTATACTGCAACTTGTTGTTTTATAAACAGATTTAATGTTTTGGGAATGAAGATACCGAAGTATAGATTTATGTTTAGTAAAACGGTATAAATTTTTAACTTACGCAGATATAATATTAGAACGATAATTATTATGACTATGATGATGATAACGATCATAATGGATGGCAATGGCAGTATTATTAGGCCTAGTAATGTAGAGGTAAAGAGATGATGGTAACAATGTCGAAGTTAATAGTTAATAGTAATTATACTAATTAATTATACTTCAAATATAATAATGTTACTCATTATTGTTGTCACTGTTGATTACGAAGGTAAATGACTGAGAAGAATCATGGCGATGATGATTATGGTGGTGATGACTATAATAAAAACTTTAATTCAAACGTCAAACATTTTGATTGATTGATTAAATTTATTTGAATCTCATAGTAAAATACATAAACAATATAAAAATATATACAAAAGTTAAATAATTGACTTTAATCCAATAAACAATTTTTTAAACAAATATTTATTTACAAATTTAATTTTGAATAAATATCTTATTTATTTTATTTAAGTAATTAAAAACTACTTCAAAATCAGAGTCAAATTATGAAAAAAGGAGACAAGAACAGGAAAAACACACAAAAGACAGAGTTGCAAGGATAGCCCATGAAAGTCCAAGTAAGACTTATTTCCAATGAGGTCCTTTAGACAAAACCACAGTGTACATTAGACATAAAAACATTGAAAAGTAATATGGCCAAAAGGAAGTAACCGAACGCGGATGTTTCATTTTCGCTTTTGTTATTTATTGTTGTTATTATGATAATGATTTTTATTATCATTATTATTATTTTTATAGTTGTTCAATCTGTAATGCTTTGTCTTTCAGGTATTTCTCAACATTTAATTTAGACTCTAATTTAACTTTGTCGTAATTAAGTGATTACTTGGTTTTGCTCTTCCAATCTTCTGATCATTTAAATTTTATTCTATATAATTTGTAAACTGTTGTTTGTTAACAGTTGGAGTACGTTTTGAGGAGTCAGCAGTAGATTTTGCTGGTCGAGTAGAGATTTACACAAACAATGAATGGGGGACAGTTTGTGATGACTTTTGGGACAATGCTGATGCCAATGTTGCTTGCATTATGGCAGGCTACATTGGGGCTATTGCATCCTATCGAAAAGCATCTTTTGGTGAAGGTGTTGGCTCTATTTTAGCCAACGATTTTCATTGCAATGGCGAAGAAACTAGCTTGTTTGACTGTTCCAATAGTGTACATGACTACGGTTATTGTCATCACCATGAAGACGCCGGTGTGGTTTGCTCTACAGGTGAGTTTAAAATGTGTTTTGTTTTGATTATATGATGATATGATTAATAATTCATATTGATAATTTATAATAACTGATAATTATTAATGATTGTGTATATTAAATAATAATTAGAAGACATTACTATTGTTATATATGCTATATTAATAATAATAATAATAATTGATAAATAAATAATAATAATAACAAGTGTGCATATCTGATGACGGTATCACATTTTTGTTGCAAATTAAGACATTACTGATGAGATGTTTCAATAGAAGCTTTCAAAATTATTTAATTACATTCGGAGATTTTGTTATAAGATTCTTTTAAATTTCCGCTAAAATTATAGAATCGTAGTTAGCCTTATGTAAATACATTTACAGATGTCATTCGACTTTCCGATGGTAGCGCATCGGCAGGTCGTGTGGAAGTATTTATAAACGGACTATGGGGAACAGTTTGTGATGACAACTGGGACTTAGACGATGCCTTTGTTGCCTGTCGTCAACTTGGTTTTGATGATGCGAGTGCTGTTTACGTCAATGGCAGATTCGGAGCTGGTGAGGGACCAATACACCTGGATGAGGTTCAGTGTACTGGTGAAGAAACTGAGCTTTCACAGTGTCGAAGTATAAAAATTCACGACTGCCAACATTCTGAAGATGCAGGCATATCATGCATTTCTGGTAATTATAATGATTCGTGCTTTATTAAAGTCTGAATTATCGAACCAGATGATGATATTATAGGCCTACTCGATGTGTGCTTTTTTTTTGTATAACCAATATGCCTTAGGCAACGTAATAACAAAGTTCAAGAACAAGTTTTTCAGACTAATTTGCAAAACATTTCAGGTATGTTATACACAAGTCTAATAATATAACATCTTATACCCGTCTAAAGGGGCTAGTGATACCGACACGAAGGGTGAGTCTAATGGAGGCTCGATAGAAAAGTTAAAAAGACGTCGTATGGGATATGTAATGATATGTTAGCCTATTTTAATTAATTCAGTTCAACACATTTTTAGTGATTGCTGCCATGAATAAAGCTGAATTGACACTAGACACGATAAATTATCATCGCGTAGTTTGTATTCTTCAGCACTGCGTGCATTTTTATGATGTCGTGTCTTATCGTGTCTAGTGTAAATGAAGCTTTAATGTATAAGATGTTTGATATAAATAGTATAAATATCTTTTAGAAGCAGTTATATTGAACATTTTAAGATACACAATAACTTTTTGCGTGGACCGATTGCTTTCATATGTTTTATTTTAATACATGTTTATGACACTTTAAAGCTAAGGGACCTCGACCCATGTTTTGGTTGTGAAGAAATATAGTCGGAAATTAGTAGTTATTTTTCATTTTATAGGCCCTCATTTTTTTTTCTTTCTTCTTTCTTTATTAAATTTCTCTACCTTTGCATTTATGGGGAAAAAACATGGTAGGCGGAACCAGCACAGACATGAAACTCCATAAATCGCTGGTCCTGGAACAGGTACAAGTACGGAAACAGTAAAATATTTAAATATAAATTATAGCAATTTAAAAAAAAAACAATTTTAACACCAGATATTCTAAGCATTACTCCATTAAAGAAGGTGCTGAGTACAGTGACGTAACGCCTATGCGCTCTCGTGCGGCGGTCCGCAGGGCCCCGACTCCTAGGGACACCAAATGGCCTCCCATAGGGTCCTCAATCTAGCATCCCGACCCAAAAGAGCTTTGTTGATACAAAGCAGCACAATGGGTCTCTGATATCGACTGTAGGACGTATATCATAATATCCAGTAACAGATTAAGGGACACCCTAATTTTGTCAAAATTTGTAAAAATTGAAAAAAAAATCGAAAATTAAGTATGTGAGTGCCGTTTCCAGCCATCTAGTGGTGCAATAATCATAATTGTCATACCTTTCTAACTATGGTAGAGCCGAAGTGGTACAGACCATCCATTTGTGAAAGTTCCTCCCTGGGCCCCTCTATTTTCAAATTTCTGCTAGATCCCCCACTGATATCATATCATTTATTTCCGCGTTAAAAACATTAATTATAATACAATGACAAACATGATTAAAAAAACAGATCTAAACCCGACAATGGAATTAGCGACCGGGACCGAAAACGGCCCTAGTCTCAGAAAGTCACAGAGCCGCGGGTGGCAGCGTTACGCCACTGGCCAAGTCATCGAATATTTTTGAAGTGTAAAGAGTTCCATTTAAAAACAACTCTATTAAAGAAAGAAAATTTGAATATGTCAATGCGTGAACGCTGTATGGAGTAATTACCAGCTTGAGAGAAATGAGATGTAGTATAACGATACGTAGAACGCTTTCATTACTAGTTTACTTCTGCCTTATTTTTTATGTTTTTGCTATTATTGGCCGTATTCGACTGGTCGTTCTTCGTTAAACCACGCCCTGCACAATGGTAAAATCCTACTTAACGAAGACGACCAGTCGAATAAAAAAACTTCTAAATGCTCGACAAAACAAAATGGCTGCATAGTTACCGCGATACACGCTGTGTAATCAAGATTGCTTCAGCTTGTAGCAGTATGGGTTTTCCGTTAAAAAAAAAATATTTTCATCCAGTTTTTTTCCAGTGATAATTCTGTTAACCTACAATTATTTTTTGACTTCATGCAGTAAATGTTATAATTTTTATTCTCTGAAATTAATCTAAATTATATTAACGCAAATGTTGTTTCTAAACTCACCAATCGGCCACGTTTGTTTTGGTCACGTGAATAACTTAACGCTGATTAACGCGCTCTGATTTTTGTTAATTTTCGTTGTCAACGAAGTCTATTTCACTAACCAGTCGAATGAAAATAATACTCAACGAAAATTCGTAGTCAACGAAATGAACCAGTCGAATACGCCCAATGTTGTTTCGTGTTTTTGCATTCCTGATTAATTATTTAAAAGAAAATCAGTCAATTACTTGAAGAAAAATAGAAATAGAACTTCAGTAATTGTCAAAATTAAGACAGATCTTTAAAAAAAAATACATTTTCACGAGGAGTGCCATATTTGGAATTCTGGAAAATTCACATCTCACCTCACCTTAAATATATTACATATAGAATAGAATATTTCAACTTCATTTTAAATTGATTCTGTTTTCAATCATTTGAATATCTTGAGGGAGATTATTCAATTTCTTAAAATTAATCACTAGCATTACTGTGTAAATGAAGCATAGGGACACTAGTCATGTTGCAGTCGAGCTTTGGTTTATCACGATGATCTAACAAAACCATTTTCAATATTAATTGCTTGTTAAATTGCCCGCATATTTCTACAAATCCTTATTTGTTATGTTGTAATCTCTGCTGTTTTTGTACCGTGTTAATAGTTGTGTTGCTTGGGGTTTTCTGGGAAATAATGTTGTATTAAGTTATTCATGAACTAATGAAGCATTGCCTTCCGTTTTGCAATCAAAAAAGAAGGTACATATTAAATTCTAATATACATACTAGTTTAAGTCAGTATTACTATTGTTACTGTAACTTTTTAAACATTATTTCTTATTGATGTTGTTACATAGAATATATCGTAATGTGGGACTTCAAATTGTGTTCTCTACTTTTGTTAATGCTATATTTAGTATAATTGTTGATTTTGTTGCCAACACATTCCAATTATAAATTATTATCAATATCGGTAAATATTAGGCCAAAACAAAATTGTTGTGTTGCCCTTCAATGGAAAAAATCTAGATCGTCGGTCAGTCGGATTTTTATTTCTTATTAATATATTTTTTTTTAGTATTTTTAGTAATACCTGAAATAGGACAGGCCTCAAACTGCAGTCTCTATTCATGAAGGCCCTCGACCTAAGGCCTCGTATCGTAGGCATCACAATAGAACGATGGCAGGCTTGCCAAACAAAAAATATTTAAAGTGATGACGGAATAAATACTAAGTGTATATTGAAATAAATTTAACAAAAATAAATCAGTTTAAAGAAAGATTCGTTGGCTTCGAAACGTAAAATAATTTATGTATCCGATCCACACGATCACGCATGGGCCGATCGAGCAAAACTATACTATGGCTATGAAAAATGTCCAAACAAGCGCCCTCTATGTAATACAATCGAAGTAAACTTTGAGGGAAAAAAAAAGAGGGAAAAAAATAATATCTCGTTCATGGTTGGCCTAAAATGTCTAACTATGTACCGGCTGGGCTAGGCATAGATCTGGTCGTGGCTTGACAGCTCAGCGCGAGATATCCGATGTTGCGTGCGTGCGGCACCGTCGCGCCCGGTTCTCAAAATTATGCCTTCTATATTACCGATTTTTACGCCGTGCATGGCTCGAAATACATTTCTGTTTTAGATTTTATGTTCTATTCTAAATGTCAATTTCGGAAGTGGTATTTCTCGAATTTGTACTTAAGTAAAGGAAGACCTTTAAACAAAATAAAATAAGAAAAATAAAAGAAATCCCGACCCGATTTTTGGGAAAATTTCGGTCGGTCGCGGAGGGCAACACAACATTTTTTTTTGGCCTCATCGAAGTGTAATATTTCTTTATTATTTTTTGTAGATTCCGGTGTTACTCCTGCATGGCTTAATTCATTTAGTAATGTTCAAACGGAAGGTATGTTGTCATAAAAATCTAATATAAGTATTCTTAAAATAGAATAGTAAAATAGACGGGTTGAATGATCATATTCAACCCATGAATTATTAACATACGCACCATCCACCTTTATTTGTTTTATTACCACTGGTATAATATTTGTTTTTATTCCAATTTTTTTTTCGTCCACACGATTTTCTAACATTTTGCACAGTGTTTTTCTGACTGATACTTTGGTAACTTCCCATGAAGAAATGATTAAATTTTGGTGACGATCTGGGGTTGAGTGTGGATATGGGGACCATTTGAAGAATATTAATTGATGGGTGAATAAACTATGTAAAACACAAGTTGCGTTTTCTAAAGCGTTTAAACCAGTTGCAACCAGATTAAATGCCAAATTACCGTGAAATGCATAAACAATTTTCGCTTTCATTCGGTGAATTACCATGATGTACTTAAAGTTGATGAACTAAAAATGCACTTAACTACGTATGGTCGGCTCATATAGCGTTCAATGGTTCCATATCACCCTCACTATTACCGTTGCAGATAGTTCAAGTCTCAGTAACGTCGCATTAGTCGTTGAGTTGGTTTTCATATTTTTAAACTCCATAATTTTCTTTAGTAGTATTTAGTATTTTTTACTTTACCGAATACTTTTTGAAGACTTTTTTGTTGCAATTTTAACATCACTTCTCATTATGGCAATATGGAAAAGCCTTTATGTCCTGTTTTACAAACAGACATAGTAAGTCTAGTCATTATTATTCTTATTATGACGTCGTATCGATGAAAACGACATTGATATTGATATTATTACTATTGATAGGCCTAATATTCTTATAATCATTAGTATCATAACCATAAACATCGTTGACATTGATTTTATTATCAACACTGTTAATTTTATCATTAAATAAAAAAGTTTTTTAGTTATTAATATAAATATAATTACGGATATTATTTATGTTTATATTTGATTTTTATCAAAAGTATTGTGGTATTACATAATTACCATTACACACATTAAGACGGTTTTCAATGGTATTTTTAGGTTGCTATGACTACTGGTTCCGTAGTGATCGATCTTGCCTAACAGTCATACGGTCAGATAATGTTTATACTAATTTCACTGATATCAGCCCGTGTCCACATGGATCAACGTTTCTCACAATGGACACGTCACTGGAAACACTCACTGAATATTTGACGATACTTTATTCCTATGAAGAAGAAGAAGAAGTCTTCAATGTTTTTCTCTGGAAAGTTGAATCCCAATGTACATACATGAATCGCGATGATGAGGACATTTGGGGAGAATTCAAGGTAGCATGTAATAGCTTACATGTCAACGCATATGTATGTCAGATGAATATTCAAGGTAACAATATCAGTTTAGTTATACTAATCTATAAAATACGCATCAACACACACAAATACAATGTGTAAACACTTGTTCAGAACTTATGTGTATTGAACTCACTGAATATACGCCAATTTATTGTTAAATTCTATGATCTGTATATATAGCAGATTAATGCTTAGTTCATGAATATTTAGTTCCTTTTATGATACATTGTTTAGCAGGTAAAGGGTTAGCAGATGAATATTTAAGAATTTTATGGTTGTGGTTAGTAAATCAATGCTTATCTGATAAATGATTAGTAAAGTGAATAAATCGCAGATGAGTGTTGCTAATGAATGTTTACCAGATGAATGTTTATCAAATGAATTTCTGCAATTTAATGTGGGTAAAATAAATTGCTGGCTAACAGATATTCAGTAGATAAATATTCAGCAGATAAACTGCTAGCAGATGAACTTTGGTTATCTTATAAAGGTTTAGCAGGTGAATGTTTACCAGTTTAATGTTGGCCAGATAAATTGTTAGCAGATGAATGTTTATCTAATAAAAGGTTGAGCAGCTGAGTGTTTATCAGATGAAAGCTTAGTTGGCGAATGTTTAGTTTGTGAATGCAGAGCAGATAGACATTTAGCGGTTATCATGTCCATCAGATCTGCCAGATAAATGTTTAGCAGTTTAACGTTGGACAAAGAATGCTACCAGATGAATGGTTATATTAAAAATCTTTTCAGTTAAGTGTTTATCATATGGATGATTAGAAAAATAAACGACAGCAGCACTTTTGGAACTAACAATACGGACTTTATTCTCACAGTGGACTTCATCAGGAGACTGTACAGATGTGATAAGAACCAACTATAATATACAACAGAAATAATGGGGGAGGTCCTACAACAACAAATTAAGATCAATGATGAGAAAATGTGTGAAATAGCATACAGTATATTAAAGTCAATACACTTAGAAAAAAAACTATTGCATCGAATCAAATAATATGTATAATTATAAATACCGAATACATAAGATCAATAAAATCCAGAGAATAAAATTTAAAAAAAAAATGATGACAGTTAACTGACAATGAAAAAGTAATGAGGAATATATGATGCAAAAAATATAGATAATAATAAAGCAGCATCAATAATAAATATGCATACACTATGTAGCTATTTTAGTCAAAAAATTATTGCATCAAATCAAATATATATATAATTATAAATACGGAATATATAAGATCAATAAAATTTAGTGAATAAAATGGTTAAAAAATGATGATATATTAAACTGACAGTGAAACAGTAATGATAAATATATGATGTAAAAAGTATAGATAATAATAAAGCAGCATCAATAATAAATATGCATACACTATGAAAAAAATAAATAATAATAAATAAATAATAATAAAAATAACAAATAAATAATAATGCATATAATAAATGATGAGAAATATGAATATTTACTGGATGAATATTTAGTAGGTAAATGCAGAGCAGATCAGTATTAGTATATGAAAAATTAGGAGATAAATGTTTAGCAGATTATGTTTAGCAGGTAAAGAATGCACAACAAGTGTAGAATGTTTAGCAGATGAATGTTAATGCGATAAAGGCTTGTAAATAGAATGCTGAGCAGTTGAGTATTTATTTGGTAAAGGTTTAGTATTTATTAGATACAGAAATAATAATAATGGTAGTTTTATATAGCGCATTATTAAGCCCTCTATGCGTGTTTTCATTACCCCGGTCATTGGATTAAACGCCTATGCAACACAAATTTAAGCTCCCTGAGGGAGTATTCCATAACGTTGCAGCAGCTACATCAGCGCATTTTGGCATTTAACCCTACCAGGTACTCATTTATCATCCTCCTGACACAAGTAAAATACTCAGCGACGAATTAAAACCCGACTTCGAGGTTGGGAAACCAAACTGTTCCCGGTTGTTCTAAGTTCAATGCTTATTAGATACCGGTAAATGTTCAGAAGGTAAATGCAGAGCAATACTTTATTTTTCTAAACGTAGATATATTCAAAGAAAATGAATGAAAATCTGCACCTTATCAATATCACAGTACTTTAACTAAATAATGCAACATAATGAAAATATTGATCTGTTTATATCTTATACACGAACATTGCTTGATGGCTTGCAATATCCTTTCAGAACAATCTCATTCTTGCTCCAACAACCAGTTTAAATGTCTATCTGGAACTTGTATACTTAAATCATTAGTTTGTGATGGTAACTATGATTGTCCAGATAAAAGTGATGAAGAAGAACAGTGTATACAAGGTATGTTTGGTTTCATTTCCCAAAAACAGAAACAAAATTGATAAAATAGCAAACATTAAATATACTCTATTGTACCTATTTTAGTATATGGTATAAGTAATGGTCAACTGTTCTTCAGGTAAAATTAAATCTTGTTAAAAATCTTTAACTCTTTTAATATTTTTCAATATTGCATATTACTCTAATTCATGAAAAATATTATCTTTGGAATCAGAGTGCTTCAAAATGGAGGATGGCTCAGATTACCGAGGAACACATAATGCTACTGAAGATGGGACAATTTGCCTGCCATGGACAAGCCCATTTAAGGGCACCGACAGTATTTATCCAGCAGATTTCATTGGGAAAGGCATTGGAGATCATAATTATTGTCGAAATCCCGACGGCGAGTCCCGGCCTTGGTGCTATTCAAGTGATTTTTACGAAGTCATAGACTATAAAATTCCACGATGCTGTAAGTTTATTACTTTGCATTAAAACAGTCACAGCGTTGGTCAACTACTACATGATTGTGGCTACAAACATATTGGATTTTACATTTCTTTTCCTCCTTATTTCGAGCTCGCTCTCACATCTTTGACTAGCTTCCTCTATTCTTCACGATCATCCATGATGTTCTTTAGGTTATCTGTGGTCAATCCTGTGTCTCTCCCTAACTGGTCCAGATAATAACATTTAGTAAACATTTAATAAGTCGTGTAATCTTTTATAAAATAAAAGTATGTGTGTATTACATAATATGTATACTTTATATTAATTAGTTTGTTTTATATCTGTCTCTTATACAATATATATATATATGTATATATGTATATATATATATGTATATATATATATGTATGTAGGTATATATATATATGTATATATATATATATATATATGTATATATGTATGTATATGTATTGTTTTGTATTTTCAGCGCCAGATCCGAATCGCCTCTGCCCATCAACAAGTTTTAAATGTAAATCAGGTCATTGTATCTCCTACTCATTCTATTGTGATCATAAAGTGGACTGCCCCGATAGTTCGGACGAAGCAGATTGTAGTAAGAACAGTTTTGTCTATTTGTATTATTGTAAATAGAAATATTCCTTTCTCAGTGGGAAGGTAAAAATTTCGGTCAAAAATATTGACAGGTCGGCGCTGGGAAATTCAATTTGTTTTTTATCCTAATTTTTTTAATTGTAAAATTTGGGTTGTGTATTATATTTTTTGGGGGGGGGGGTTTAGAGAACATGGAAAGCTAAAGTATTACCAAAGCCTTCAAATGAAATTCACGTAAAAAAATAAAGATATGTTAGGTCTATTCGTTTGAATATTTATAGTATACCCTAGCTGTAGCGCTACTGAGTTTGCGTGTGACGTTGGTCGTTGTTTGGAATCTTCACTGAGATGTAATGGAATTTCGGAATGTATAGATGCAACGGATGAATTGAAATGTGGTACGTATGTCTTTTTATTGATGGAGGGGAAGTGATTTGTCGATTATGTATGATATTTTATTGTATGATATTGTCTGTATTAAAATGGTGACTAACAATATCATGACTTATTTCTCATCATATGAATAAACTCTTATGATAATTGTTTCTACTGTTGAAAAGAATATATCATTATATAAATATTATTTTTTAAATACACCACATTTATGCATGAAATTTATAGGCAAGCATCTTTACCCACTTAGCTGCCGCAAAATAAGTCATGTTGTTTATAATAAACAACATGACTTATTTTGCGGCAGCTAAGTGGTTAAAGATGCTTGCCTATAAATTTCTCAGGATTAATAAATTAATTTGGGTTCAAACCGTGTGAAACGTCAGCTCTTTTTCTCACCATAAAATACGATTCTACACTTTTAAGGAATTAGAGAGTAATTGAATTATATTTGATAATTTTATCTGTTGACTGTGAAAATTGTATTACTATGTTGCAGGAATTGACAGACCAAAATAGAGGGTAATTGAATATACAATGTTTCATTTGTTCTAGCTGAATGCAGTGAAGGTTTCCTGCGATGCAGTGATGGGAAATGTTTACATTTAAAGTATGTATGTGATGGATTATCCGACTGTCCAAACGAAATAGACGAGCCTATTTGCTGTATGTATATGAAAGAACTCACAAGCCTATTTTACGATAATAATTTTACTAATTAACTTTCTCAATGTTATTTCCTAATTACAATATACTTGCATAGGTTGCTAAATTATTTCAGTAGATATTCTGCTTTCAAATTTTTGGTAGTAGTGTCACTCCTTTGGTAGACAAAACAACATCCTATAAATCTTTACTCCTAAAATCTTTAACCAACATTAATTTATGAACATGTAATAAGTTCGTTTAAGAAACCAACTGAAACTATTTCAGCTGACTTGCGTTTACTTTACATGAGTTCTCGTTAATTTCTGATAGCTGACCGCCTTCCATGTGAAAACTGGCAAATAAAGTGTGAGAATTACGTTTGTGTGGATCAGCGGTATATATGTATACTTGACTATGATGAATATGAAACCATTCTTGGCTGTAGAGATCGCAGTCATTTATATAATTGTGGTAGGTACTCTTTATTCAACAGGGAATTTTAACACCATTATTTGCTAATTTTTTTCAATATAACAATTACTGTTTTAGATATAAAAAATAGGGAGCTTTAGGCTATGTTCTCACATGGCAGCTAACGGTTAGCAGGATCCGGATCCTGCTAACCGTTAGCTGCCGTGCGTCCATGCGAGAAAATCCCGATCAGGATACCAACAATATGATGATTGAATCACTGGCCAATAAGAAACTGGAAATTGTAAACGCGTACGTGTTGATGATAGAAACGCCCTCAACTAACCGATAGCGCTTGCTAACCGTTAGCGTATCCGGATACCTCTAACGGTTAGCGCTAACCGATCGGGCGTTCTCACGCAGGTGCTAACGGTTAGCGCTAACGGTTAGCTCCCGATCCGGATACTAGGGCTCTCGTGAGAACCAGGCTTTAGATTACACCACGACGGTAGAACGTAGAACTTAATGACGTCACTAAAAGTCATCCGCGCATGCGAGGACGTTAAGGTCACCTCGTTGAGTACATTCTAGAACTCAATTTGACAAAATCTACGTATGCAGTTAACGTAGGACACCACGTAGGACGGTCACGCATGAATGATTCCGTTCTAGCGTCGTGTCGTCGCACAAATCAAAGCTCTCTAATAACTATACCTCAACTTATCATTTCCCCGGCCACCTGCTCGTAATGTTGTGTTTTGTTGGTTTCTCTATCATTTATAATTGTTTTATCCTGGTGCCTTAGTCCAAATATTTTCAAACAATTATACAGTAGCGACACTTTTTTTATATATAAGAACCAGCAAAATTTTACCCAGGCTCAGTGTATTTTTTGCCAACTTCAGGCTAAACATTTTCTTATTTTGTTCTTATTTTAAGGGAAAATAATATATCTTAGCACAAGTGTAGCCGAGAATTTTGTTTGATACTCTGATGATGGAAGTTCGGATTATCTCACATGTGATGACATTAATTGATTAGATATCATATTGATATAACCTTTTTAAACATTAATACTTTACGGCATGTGACTAGCTTGATTTACATGTTTTTTGTTTTGTTTTGTTTTTCTATTTTATAAGAACCTTATTTGACATTTTACCTCAGGCTCAATTTGTTCTTATTTCGTTCTTAATTTTAAAGCAATTTCAACCTGAGCTCTCTTATAAAATGTGTTGTTATAAAAAAGTGTAAATCTAGGGCAAATCAATACGTATTATTGTTTGTTAATTTCAGCTGCTTTTCAGTGCCCAGCCCACACTTACAAGTGCCCTAACTCTTTCTGCATCCCAATCAAGGGTCGATGTGATGGTAAAAACGATTGTAATAACGGAGAAGATGAACAATATTGTGGTAAAGTTATAATATTATATTATACATGAGTCTTGAAAACGATAACGTGTACGTCGTGAAGCTCATGCTTAATTTTTATCAGTCTGTCTTTCTAAATCCATAATACACTTTTCTGCTGCTTGCCCTTTTAGGCCTTCCCGATGGACCAGAGTTCACTACAAATCCTACCAGAATATTTTCAGATATTTATATAGTTACTATAATACTTACTATAATACTACAAATTTCATGTAAATTTTAAATCAATATTTTATAGATCATTATAACTGTCCCGGATATTTTAAATGTCAAGATGCCATAAATTGTATTTCTCAAGATCGTGTCTGCAACAATGTCAAAGACTGTATTCGTGGAGATGATGAACTTTTTTGCAGTAAGTGAACTTCACTTACCATTATTTTAATCCGTATATAACAATTGTTATAAAAGTCTTGGTTATGCTGCATCGAAAAAAAATGCCTGACAGAGATTTAAATAATATTTAATGACGTCATTCCAATGCGAACATTAATTTAACTACAAAGCTAGAGCCAAAAATCCAAATATCTAGCCAATTCCTATGTTTATGACAGTATATATAATATGCATGTGTTCTGAAACTCTGCCACTTACAATATATTCTATACTTGTATTATATTATAAGTCTTATATGATTTAATATAATTACAAAAATATCTTGTAGTTGATCAACTAGCTAAAGTGTTTAATCGTATTTGTTATTGTATTACATTTTAAAATAAAAAAACTAGCTTATTTTACAAACTATAGTATATTTGTTCAAATCGGTGGATAAGCAATATATTATAAACTTTATTAAAAGTTATTTTATGGCTACAACAACGTAGTGTGCATTTAAAAAGGTAATATTTAATATTTCACTATTATATCAGATGTAACGTGTCCTGGTGGATGTACCTGTAGTGATCTTTCTTTTAACTGCTCTGGAACAGAATGGGGGAAGGACAAAGGTGCTCTTATTCCAAAAGATATACGATACTTGTAAGTTCAAATGTTGTCTGCTTCTAATTGCACTAAATTTATATAAAAATGGATAAACAAATTAAAACGATTAACGATTGGTATGAGTTTGTATGATTGAGATTTTACTTCATTTTACCTGGTTTCTGTGTGTTACTTGTTTTTTTCAATGTAAATGTTGTGATTGTTGTATTTTTGTATTAGACCTTGTTGGATAACAGTAGATTTGAAACCGAACAGGTTCCCTAGTAAAAAGAATAAAATAGTAAATAAAAACCAAATACAATCTTAGCTTTTTAGCGTATGAGTTGGTAGAGCAACCAAACAGTACATAGTACATCTCTTTGATGTACAAATGTACATAAAAATAGTGAAGACTGTGTTTATCCCGTGTACATTTATAATTGACTAGTGTAGGGAAGAGTTGCTCTGTGGGATTGCCAATCACATTATAGAGTAAAACAGTCGTGTCGTCACAACACCAGGTGGCGTCCTAGGTTGTTAACCAGACGTTGGTTACCATTCATTACGCTTGAATGACTTCATAATCTTAATGGTTTAAAATAGGCTTTCTGGTATAGGCATTTTGAAACCTAATAATTTACAATCAAAATATACTAAAAACACAAAAGCTCGCATTATATTGGACACGCATTTAATCATCAATTAATATTTACAAAGAAAAACTAAGATACAACATCTTAATAATTATGTTAGAAGTTATAGGATCAATGGTTTGTCAGTGGAGAAAATGTTGTCCTGTTGGACCCATTTCGTGTCGCCGATAGCAACGTAGTAGTATCACGTGACGTAACACTACTAAACTAACTAAATCCTTTCCGAGCCACTGGGGCTCATAGGGCTGGAGCTTATCTCCAGTTTTTGTAGTGTGAAGCGGATGAGAGTTGTACTTCCCCTGGACGGGACACGAGTCAATCGCAGGTTAGTCCCCAGCAGATTGCTGGTACTCATTGATACAGCTGGGTGGACTGAAGCAATGTAGCTAAAGTGCCTTGCCCAAGGACACAAGTGAATCTGCACAGCAGAGACTCAAAACCCCGACGATTGAAAGTCCGAACCACAACCGCTGCGCCAAACTGCCACTACAAACCAGTCTCTATAAACTCTATAAACCAGTTAAAAAATAATTTTGCGAGACACATGTTCTCTTACGTCCTCTTTGCAGACGACACTTATCTTTCTCTCTGATCGGGACCTTAACACTTTAACTTCAAAAAAGAAATAAAGCTCATATCAACAAACCCATACTGAATATAAATAAATCAAACTATATACAACATACACTTTCCAGGAATGAAAGGAACACTAATAACAATCCGAACACAACTCAGTCTTTATTGACAATACATTGACCAAGCACAGTTTCTTGGTGGCCTTATAGACAATAAGCTGAACTGAAAGCCTCATACCGTAGCCAATATCTCAAAGAAAATTTTTGAATTTTAAGAAACTTAAATTTACTGTACCGTCTAAAATTCCTAATCCGCGTTTACACCAACTTAAATTACCTATCCCATTCTAAGCCTCTCTTCCATCAACTACATACTCCCAACATCTTTGATATCAATAAATTAAAAACGACTCAGCCTATTCATATACCCATAACCCATAATTCATCAAAAACAACGAATTCACAACTATAACACCAGAGGCGGTCATAAGTATATAACAATAAATCATCTTAGAAACTCAACCAACCGAAACTCAATTTTATATTTTATATACTGGCCACCTACTATGGAACCCCAATGTAATGTTTTTACCGTAATAAGCCTTTGTTACACTCTGTACAATTTTTTTTATGAAGAATTTATATACTTGAATACATTTTTCCTTTCCCCTTTCCCTTGTTTAGTTTTTTCATCAAAAACAATGAACTTCACACCAGAGACGGTCATAAGTATATTACAATAAATTATCGTAGAAACTCAACCAACCAAAACTCAATTTTATATTTTATACATTATGGAACTCATATCTGTGTGTTTACCGTAAGCCTTTGTTACACTCTGTACAATTCCCTTTCCCATTGTTTAGTTGTATTCTTCTGTCTTCCTTGTGTCTTGTTGCTTCTTGTTATTCGTTGACAAAGAAAGCATTTCAAAATTATATTTTACCAACTCTCATTATTTATTTTTCTGGTGTTAGTAACAGGCCTAAATCCTTTCGTGCTTATTGGTATCTCCAGACTACTGTACACTATTTTATTTTTATCTGCAATATTATATGAATTAAGTAAATATGAATTTAATTGAATTTAAAATTTAATGTTTCATGTGGAAGGAAAGGATAGTATGCATACATAGACAAGTGTAAAGGATTTTAAAACATCTTAGTTTATTTAAAAATCTCCAGAAATGTTAGCGGAATTTCGTCATATCCTGTCGGTTCGGTGGATGA